AATAAAAATGAAAGAAAGAATAATATACACAAAAGAAACAAGTCTTATGGTAAAAATGATTGAAGAGTAAAGGCTCCAGCAAATTTTAATTGAAGAAAATTCAGGTTTGACAAAGAGCATGATTTGGCCATATTGAATCAGAACGGATGCACGTCCATATGATGAATAACTTGTAGTGACATTATGCGAACAAGCACATCAGAGGTACAACACAAGCTCAGCAGAATTCATTAAGAAAACTTCTCATCTGTAAACAAAATGACATGCATCAGATTCATTATGTCGTGTATTGATATATGCACCAAGTATTAATATGGTTTGGTTCTGGACGGGTACAACGTCTGTTTATCTTGTGTTTGATCATGCAACAAATGCATTGTGTGACATGATATATGTGAAGGGTGAATGCGATCAGTCCATGCAGGCAAGTCAAAGATTGAATTGAGGAAATTGAACAGCGGGGATATAGAAAAGACAACATTATACACATCTTAGAATGACAAAACAAATCACATGGTTCAATCTCAAGATTTTTGAAACAAGTGGGGATTTGCGGAGACATTTACATGTAAAATCTATTTTTTTTTAGTTTCAATCATCGTTGTCATTAGCCAACTGGACTTTATCCTGTGGTCAATACCATTCAGTTTTCTTTTTGCACAACAGCATGTAGCATCACTTCAGGGCTCACCACAAATTGAAACTCCATAGACAATAATGTTAACATATGACGAGATTGCTATATGGAATTGATAAACAAAGTTGAAAACATGGCTCAAAAATGGGAAATCAACCTGTCAGTAATCAACAGTACAAAACATAACTAACATGTTGGCCAGCTTAAACTCTTACAAATCTCAGGTAAACAAGACACACCTACTGTATTTGGATTGCACCTAGAGAAATCACTTGGAAAACATTAAAATGTCCAAAATACAAACAGAATATACCTACATGTACACAGCTGCTAAGTAATAAACAAAGGACCACATGTTAGTCTCTCCTTTGACCCAGGTGATGCACGCCCTCAAACAGAATGCACCAGAGATAAAAATATTTAAAAAATTTCATTGGTTCTTGCTAGGCATTTAAATTGGTCATTGGTTGATTAGTGGCACTCAGAATTCACTAAAAGTTCTGCAACACTTGGCTGTTGCCATCTCCATCCTTTCTTTGACACCTTGTTGTGTGGCTGAGCCAGCACGACATGGAATTGCAATCCCAATATTTCAGCTCATGTAGGGAATTCTTGATCTCTGCATCTACTGACTGGAGGGCTCCTTTCTCAGCACTCATTGTTTATTATTTTGTAGTTATTGAAAGAAGAACAATTGAATTAAAAAATTGCACTAACGCACTTTTTTTTCTTTGTTACTAATGTTGTGTGTATAAATACAAATTAAATATCAATATAGTTAATGATTCTTACTTTTTTATTTGCATCATCTTTTGAGGTTTCTTCTAGAAGTTTCACAATATTGTCATGACCAACCTCCCTTGCCATATCTTGTGGAATCTTTTTATCCTGTTATTTTCAGTACAAAAATAGTTTAAGCATGCAGGAACAATACATGCATAGCTTTGCTATCACAATTGAATCTCAGCAAGTGCACATTGATATTATACAGTGAAATCTAGTACATACCTCATTCACTGTATACCTTTGTAAACCAGCATCAAGGAGAAGTTTAACAACTTCAGGATGTCCTTTATCTGCAGCAATATGAAGAGCTGTGTTGCCATCCTAAGAATATAAAATATGTTACTGACCTACGATTAACAGGTACATGCAAAGGGTTTTAGCATAGGAGAATTAGTATCCAGCACTACCTACTATTACATGATACAGGGTTCAGACAGAGGTTTGCTGAAATAATTTGCCGATTGTCTTACCCATAGCACATATTCCTGTCCTTGTTCAAATGTAAAAATACATTGTGGCTGTGATTAGGCTCGGAGTATAGCCACTATACTACGTGACAGAACAATTGACGAAGTCGGAAAGTTTCATATCAGGATTGACATTTATTGAACTATGAAACATCGGCTTGAAAAAACAAAATAATAACGCGAGACACTGAAGTGTCACACGACACGAAACTCAAGTTGTGATAGATCGGTTCTAAACCAATCACTGATCGTGGTAATAACGACATGTAAAATACAATGTATAATATAATAGAAAAATGAATAATCCAAACTAAACATCAAACTATTGCTGCACAGAAATAATACAGCAAATGAAATAATAATTATAGAAAATATTTTTATGTCTAACTAGACAATTCAACTATTCAACTTAATTAACAAACATGCCTATGATTTGCATCTCGTCCCGACATACATATAACTAGGATGTGATATAATTGAGTATGAAGCTCAATACATTATATTACAAATTAGGAACATAAGTCAGTATGTGACAAATACAAAAATTAATTTACCTTGGTGTGGGCATCTTTGACAACAGAGGCATCTAATAACAATTTTACTATGTCTACTTGTCCATTGTAACTTGCTACATGTAGTGCATTAATTCCATCCTACAACAAACAGTGAACAAGACTAAATTACTTACTATATAATACTGGTATAAAATATCACCCCGTTCCCCTGTACTACCGTGACAATCAACTCTCGGATAGCAACCTATAGGACTTTTAATTGAGAGAATCTTCTACATGTTCCTCACCACCCTACAATGTAATTACACATGCATTAGTTTTACACATTTTTATCGTGTATCATCAGATACAGAAATATATTTAAATTACCTTGTTTTGGGCATCCTTGTCAACTGATGCATCTAGTAGGATTCTTACTATATCTACATGTCCCTTATTACTTGCATGGTGTAGAGCTGTCACACCATTCTACAACGTAATTACACATGCATCAGTTATACACATTTATATCATGTATCTGTCATACAAATAGGAATACCGTCTCAATACAGATACAGCGATATATTTAAATTACCTCATCTTGAGCATCCTTGTCAACTGATGCATCTAGTAGGATTCTTACTATATCTACATGTCCCTCATTACTTGCACAGTGTAGAGCTGTCACACCATTCTACAACGTAATT